CGTAATTATGGATAAGGTACAATAAATTTTCATGTAAAGTAATTTGTAATTTTGAATACGATTAGTATCTGAGATTAGTTGCAATTCTGATTATGTACTGTAAAGTATTTAAATCTTATACAATAGTGCTGACTGAACTTCGAAAACCATTTTATATATAATGTGATGAAAATTATATAAAACCTAATTTACTGAAACTTACGTAAATTACATGTATTGTAAGATTGAAACTTTCGTAACACGGCCCTACGGCCCTATTCGTGACTCAAGGAGTCATAATAATATTTTTTTTTTTTTTTACAGTAAATTATGATAAAAATCACAACTTTAATTTCCAATACAAACTAACTCAACCTTAAACCACATACTGTAGTGTCACTGCAATAGATTGTGAAATTTGTAAAATTATAATAAAACTCACGATCTTTAACTCCAATATATTATTTGTAACAACTTAGTATAGTCGATAATTAATAATATCATATCACCCTAAGTTACAATTAGACTTTTCTTAAAATAATTAATCTCACCATGGTAACTTTTGATTGACGACACCTAATATGATTTACAACTTGTATCTTCTGCCCTTAAAAAAATTTGCCCATAATATAGCTCAAGAGAAAATTAAATCACTATTCTGAAAACGCCTTTTAAAATCAGCTAAAGTAGTTGTAAGCTCACATAATGCGGGATCTCCAAAACTTTCATGAAAACCTAAAGCATAGACGTGTAAATACTTTTTGTAAAGTATTTTATATGAAATGCGAATCATTGCAGATTCAGGGAAAGGATATCGGGCAAACAGGTCTTTGGCCTTTACGAAATGTTCAGTGATCATCCAATCTCTACGCAACAAATTAAAAATTGATGCACAGTTACCCATCGAGAAATTGCTACTAGTATGCTTAGGCCAGACAAACATAAGTGAATAACGAGTGTTGGGGCATTGCATTATTAATGGCATGTAACTAGGCTCATACCCTGATGCTAAATCTTTAAGAAAATACATTTCAATTAGAAAATTTCTATTCGGTTCCAAGGTTTTAGGGACTTTATACAGTCTCTGTTGCTCTTTAATTATGCCAGTCATCAAATCTTTATTTAATTGGGCGTTAAATTTACGGTAGATAACGCATGAGTTACATCTACAATTGGCGACCGGTATTTTAGCTTTGTCAAATGGTCCTTTATACAGGCACTGTGCATATGGGTTAGGCCATTCTTTGTTATTTACTTTACGATTAAGCTCTAATCCCTTTTTTCGCATCACATCTTCCTGAATAGCCCAACGACGGATCGCTGGATTAGGCGAGGCCATCGTTAATTTGTAAAATTCATCCATCAACAGTTTTAAGTCCTGATCGGCAAGATTGTCCTGTAGTTCGTCTCGCTCTTCAGGGTCAGAATTCTGAAATATATTGGTGAAATTATCATGCAATTTGTCTATTCCTGTGAGACTATCTCGTAGTTGGTCTCGCACCTCAGGATCAGGAACAGGATCAGAATCCTGAACAATCTCGGTAAGATTATCTCGGAGTTGGTCTCGTACCTTAAGATCATGATTAGAATTCTGAAGTATTTCTGTAACATTATTTCGTAGCTGGTCTTGTCTCTTAGGATCTGAATTTTGTAATATCTTACAATCTTTCCAATTAGATCTATAGTTAGCAGAAAGAGTTTTCCGGAGACTTAAGTTTTCTTGGTGAGTTCTGTTTAAAACAATGAATAATTTTTTTTTCAAACTTGTGTGATCTTGCTTTATTATATCGAGATCTTTGCTATTATGATATTTAACAATTGATTTATATAGATTTGAATGAGAACGGAACGAAAAAACTTCATCTGGTTCAGTTTCATTAAGTATGATAGTATTCACTAAGTGAACAGTTGTCGAATTAACTTTAACTATGGGAAAAATAAGTGTGTCACACTTCTCAATTTTGAAACCTAGAGAATTTAGAATTGAATCAATAAATGTGGGTTGATTTCCATTAGTGCTACAATCATTCTCATTATTTATTTTAACTAATTTCGGTATTTCCGGATGAGGAACATCATTAAAGAAACTAGAATGAGGTCTACTCTTTCGAAATTCTTCTCGTAAAAGAGTTGAGCAAAGAACCAATACTAGCTTTGGAGAAATAACATAATAGTAACGGATGGCATAATGACCTTTAGAAAATGGTAAGAACCCATTCATTCCGTCATAGATTCCAAATCCGTTACTAGTTGTAATAAACTCATCATTTTCTCCTGCTTGCCAAATTACAAGAAAACGATCCATCATGAAATCCATGTAATCATTCCTATCAGGACTAAATATTTTTAAATTGTTTCTAATATCTTTATTTGCAGTATCTAGTATTTCACGAATATTTTGTAGCCAAACTTCTCGAGTATGTTGTATTTTATAATCTTGCATAAATTTTATTATTAATGGCCAAGTTCTGAGATCAAAATCTTGATTTATAAATTGAGACTGTCGATGAGGTCTTCGATAGTTCATAATAAAAAGAAACTTTCGTAAATTATCGAGACTTTTGCTAGATAAAACTACCTGATTTTCATTTTGAGAAGCATCGACAATATTACGAATTACGTCTGATGCTTGCATTTCTAGTTTAGAAAGTTTATCTTCTATTCTCATCACATTTTCATGATTAAAATCTTTATACATATTCATATTTCCATAAGTTTTTGAAACTGGAGAGGTGTCAAGTTGATTGCTATTTCTATAATAAACTTGAAGAAGTGCATCTTTTTTATTCGTTTCTTTAAATCTTTGTTTTTGTTTTTTGGATAATGTTCCATTGCTCACAAATATCCTTTCATGATTATTAATAGCAAAATTTCGAAGAATAAACCTTGGAATATAATGATGATATTGATCTTTTTGCATTATAATGCGATAGATACAATATAAGGAGCGTGTACGTACTGTACGTACGTACGTGTGAATTATATACAGGTATTACGTTATAATCGATGATGCACATGATGCGATGGTATTGTGTTAAAATAAAGTATGTAATACAGAATTATGGTTGGCGATGCCCCAAATATTGGCAAACCATATAATAGCGGGAGTAAATATTTTCTTTTCTGGAATTTTTTTGTCGATCCCTGCACGAAAGCGACACAACAACCAAAAATGAAACGATCGAAGGAAAATACGTTACATATTGTATTGCAGATGTTACACGTCCAGATATGGCTAGTCACGATGGCCAGCCCAAAAATATAAAGCACTAACTAAACAATAACTAAAATTTTCATATTTTTCTTTAAAAATAATGGTCTCTAATCAAATTCGTGTATTTGGTTACAATTATCAACATGGTATTGGCGTTAAGAAAGACGAAAAGAAGGCTTTTGAATATTATATGAGAGCAGCTGAGTTAAGATATTCAGATGTAATGAATTATGTTAGTGCTAGTTATCAATATGGAATTGGAGTAGAGATAAATTACCAGAATATTGTAAGAAATCTGCTGACTTGGATAATGCTGCTGCAATGTGTTATGTTGGTTTTTGTTATGAATATGGAAAAGGAGTTGATCAAGATTCTAATAAAGCATTTGAATACTCTGAAAAATCTGCTAATATGGGTGTTAAAGGTGCAATGTATATTGTTGCTCTATGTTATCGAGACGGTACCAGTACAAAGAGAGATATCCAAAGCGCAAATTATTGGTTCAGAAAGCATAGAAACCTTTTGGAAACTAACAAATCACCAGATAATATCAATTCTGAAGAGAATATTAGACGATGAGAGATTTAAATTGACTATAATGAGTTCAAAAATATCAAAAAAAAGGCAAAGGGAGGATTTGCAACTGTATATTATGCACGTTGGTACGATAGAATCAATATTGCGTGGAAAGGTAGTGCGCTTAAAGTGATTCGAGATTTAAACAAAAACGAGCAAGAATTTATCCAGGAATTGAAAAATCTCTGTGAAATTGGATACGTGAATCCTTCGTTCTTGGGATGTCAGGGAGTATCAAGAAATAATTATGGTGACAATTTTATTGTTATAGATTATGCATCAAAAGGTTCGTTACGGCAAAATCTTGTAAAAGTATCATAATTGGAATAGAAAAATAAATTGGGCATCTTGCACTATATAGCTTTGGATCTCGAGTCGATTCATTCACAGAAACTCGTTCACAGAGATTTACTCAGCGGAAATATTTTACAAAAAGGAGATAGTTTTCATAATGCGTATATTACTGATCTTGGACTTTCAAAAAAAGTAAAGGATGGAAAAATTTGTGGAACTTTACCGTATATAGCACCTGAAATTTTGGTAGGCCGATCATATACACGGGCATCAGATATTTACAGTCCTGGAGTTATCGCGACAGAGATTTCGACTGGACAAAGAGAATTTGATAGAATTCAGTTTAATGGTGATCTTGTGTCAAGAATTATCAAAGGAACAAGACCTAAATGCTTAGGACCAGCAGATTGTTATATTAAATTAGCTATGAAATGTATGGATAAAGATTTTGATAGGCGACCTACTGCAACAGAAATTACTGAAATAATCACATGTTGGTTAAATGAAATAGTTTAGCAAGAAGATAATGAAATCAAAAAAAAACAATTTTTAGCAGCCAGTCAATCAAATACATTCTCAAGATGTTTATACTAGCAACCTACATGATACACAAAAATTTTCCGAATATATTAGTAAACCGGATACAATCGAAATTACGAGTAAATTCTTAAAATAAGATTTAAATTAAATTGTGTTTATGCAGCATGCACTTAGGAAGGTAAAGCTATAGAATTTTTTCTTGGTTATCAAAAATTTTTACGATATTTTAATCCATTATATTACAGTGATAAGAATATCATCTATAAATTTTAGATTCTAGATTATATTTTTAACATTTTGGTGGTTTGTTTCTTGGAAATAGTGTTAAGATCCAATATTCTGAATATTCTCAAAAAATTTAAAAAAATATTGCATTTAAGTGTCATGTTCTCTTTTGAGAACAAACTGCGATCATAAAATTAATATTGTGCTCTCATAAGATATATATAAAATGTTATATTAGTAAAATTGAGTTTTTTTTTATTATTAAGAATATCAAAATTTTTTAAGAATACAAATTATCGATCATATTCGCGAAGAACTAAAAAAAAAATTTTCAGTTTCTTTTCAACATTTGGAGTAAGAATTTTAAATTAATATTATCTCTTTTTTGTGTATCACTGTCTCGAATATCCTTTGAAATATTTTTTTTACATTTGCTTGAATAAAAAATATAAAATTTGGTTCTAAAAATTATCAATATGCTAATAAATTAACAAAGCCAATTTTCATAAGAACGCGGAGCGAAGCAGAAGAACTTAAGTCCAGACAATAGGAGAAAAAATTTGGGTTCTGTGTGAGTTCCAGGGGGGGTTATGAATTTTGCATGTGCTAAGAATGCTGGATTTTGCATCTGCCCAATTGGATTTCGCACCCACCTTAGAACTTACTAATCATTATGGCTAATCTATCCATGAGGTAAACCTAACAGAATGCTCCATGTTTCACACATGTATTTACCTGCATGTTCAGTAACTTCTTCCTAACTAGTACTTAATATGCTGCTATACTGTATTCATATCTTACACTATCTTTTAGAATGCTGCTGTTCCATAGCTACTTAAGCCACAACCTTCCTAATTAGTTGTTCATTACGTACTCCTCACTCTTATAAGGTTCACATGACTCCATTACCCATATTCAGACTTTTCTTCTTCTTAGGATTCT